TCCATGATGGCTGTTACTTATCACTTTATTTTCTTCCAGATGTTTGCAGATGAATTCCTTAATTACCTGTTCCAGTATCTTTCCTGGCACAGAAGATAAACTGATTGGTCTGTAGTTTTCTGAGTTGTTCTTATTTCCCTTTTTATAGAAGGGCACTATATTTGCCCTTTTCTAGTCTTCTGGAATCTCTCCTGACTTTCATGATTTTTCAAAGATGATAGCTGAAGGCTCAGATACCTTCTCTATCAGCTTCTTGAGTATTCTAGGATGCATTTCACTGATGACTTAGAGACATCTAACTTTTCTAAGTAATTTGTAATTTGCTATTTTTTTATTTTAAATTCTAAACCTACCCCATTTCCACTAGCCTTCACTGTTTTAGGCATCCCTTCATCATCAAACTTATTGGTGAAGACCAAAACAAAGACGTCAATAAGCACCTCTGCCATTTCTAAGTTTCCTGTTATTGTTTTTTCCTCTTCACTAAGCAATGGGCCTACTCTGTCCTTAGTCTTCCTCTTGCTTCTAATATATTTATAGAATGTCTTCTTGTTACCCTTTATGTGTCTAGCTGAATTGAGCTTGTAACAATGATCAATGATGTAACAAGGAAACCCTGTTGAGCAGGACGGCGTTAAGAGAGGAGTTATTGTATTTGTTTCACATACAGACTATCACATAGCCACAAATTCATTGAAAATCCATCTGAAAAGAGAAGCTACGAATGGAGGACATTACGAAAACAGAGAGTACAGGCATGCACTTGGAGGTGAGTGGCCACACCTTTGGAGTTATAAAGATATATACAGTAAGCAGTACAGGCAGGATTACTCATACTTATTAGCAGGGCTCGACAAATAATGCAATCTACTCGCCTGTGGCGAGCAGACTGCGACCCGGAAGAGCTGGGTTCAGGCGATCTGCACACGCGCATATCGCCGGACAGCGCAGCTAGAGAGCGGGGCTCACCGCAGTTCGGCGAGCCCTGCTTATTAGTATTTCCAAAGAATGGGGAAACAGAAAACTAACAGAATAATATGTATTTATAAATCAGCTACTGCCCACTATTAAATATTCGGTATTGCAGAAAATGCATAGGAAATTTATGCAGGTAACTTTCATTTGCATTGAGGATAATAGACATCCCTTGCAGTTTATCTTCTTAAGAGCCTACTTCCAAAATTACTGGGTCCTGTTAATTAATTTTTGTTGTTTTGCTTTTATATTAATCTTTCAAGTACATTTGGCAATTCCGAAATCAGAGCTACTGATTTCATTGTCAATATGTAACTTTTATCAGCAACAGTGTGTATTTTTAACAGGATATTTTAAATCTAAACTAACACTATAATGAACTTCCTTTAATATGTTAACCCATTCAAAACTCATATCAAACTTCTTACAGAAAAGGTGCTAAATAATTATGTAAAACAATGACCTGATTTTAAAAAAAGAACCAGAACTGGCTGGAAATCTTCAGATGTAATATTTTTCTATTGCAGAATACCAATTTTTTAACTTCAAAATATTCCATGGGAACGTGACGATTAAGATGAAATTCCAGTAGAAACCATGGACACCAGTTGCTAGCAGAAAAATCATTTCCTACCAGCTCAACTGAATACTTAGCAGCCCAATTGGAAGTCTGGGAAGCATGAGCTTCGAAGCTGCTGGCTCTCTGAAGGCCTGGGGTCTCAGGGCTTCCAGACTTCAAGATTGTTGGCAGCCCTGGCTCCCAGACAGACTACCAGTTTGACTGCTCCCGAGTCAGGGCTTCCAAGGCTGACCTGTCAGCTCCATATATGTTGGATTGCCACATCTCTGGGCATCTGTTGGAGCATGAGAATATTTTGAAAAGGTTGAAATAAAATGTTATTTTTTCAAAATGAATTCCTACCCTGTGGGAAATTTTGAAATTTCATTTTTTGTACCATGTGAGGATTTTTCATAAATTTCCTACAGAGCAGAAATTTCACTTTCTGGCCAGTCCCTCTTACAACTTAAATTCATTCAACAGACATCTGACAAAAGATATTAAAATCAGCACTTTGTAGAAGTAGGCCTGTGACAGGATGGATTAGGCCCTGAGGCCTCCTGATTAAAGCCTTGTAGCTCTGCCACATTCTGTCTCAGGCTATATCTTCTACACTATGGGGCTTTATCGGAAAAAGGTACGCAAATTGTGCTCCGCAATTTGCGTAGCTTTTTCCGATAGTTTTTTGGAAGAGGCTTTTCTGAAATTTGGCCCATCTTCAGTGGGCCATATTTTAGAAAAAAAACGACTTTCAGAAGAGCTCTCCTTCCTTGTGGGAGGAGGAAGACAGGGCTTCCGAAAGAGCGTGTCTGCTCTTCCACACAAAAAAAAAAAAGCGGAAGAGCAGACACGAGGTATCCTAGAAAAAAACCATAGTTTAGACATAGCTTCAGAAAAGAGCAGCAGAAAGGTCATTGAAGCTGCCTAGAATGGGTGCGTGGGAAGCTGCCATTCACGGCCTACCAGGTTAGTATAAGAAGAGCTGAATGACCAGAACAAGTTCAGTTCCTTGATAGAGTTGGAAGAGTGTGGATGGTGTATGGATGGTGGAAAGAGCTGAAAGACCTTGTACGAGGTAGTGCTGCCAGAAGCCAGGGAGAGTCAGAACGAGCCTTAAACTGTTTTCAGGGACTGCATTAGGACAAGGACCTGAGATAAGGGTGATGATGGCATAGGGCTGTGGTGAAATGGCCTCATGAATCAGAGAAACATCAGAGTTTAAAGGGACACAGCAACAGCTGCTATCCACAGGGTCTGTGGCTGGGACATGGAGTAGTAGGTGTGACCGTGTCTCCCTCAACTGTCCATTAATCACTGGAGAAAATGGACTGGATACTGATGCACCCTAGTAGGGAGAACTAAACTCTTTTAGTGGCCTAGCTGAAGAGCAGAGGCCAGAAAGGTCTTGAGAAGGCAAAGACATTGCCTCCAGAGAAGTTCTGAGGTACCGCTCTATTTTGGAGATGGGACAAATTGAAAGGGAGAGAGTTCAGACATATGCACTGACACAAGGGGCCACCTCATGAGAGATGAGTGCACCGCTTATAGGACCCTTAGGGTGTATCTAGACTACATGGCTCCGTCAACGGAGCCATGTAGATAAGGCAGGACGACAAAGGGAAATGAAGTTGTGATTTAAATAATCGCTGCTTCATTTAAATCAAAATGGGCACCATACTGTGCCAATCAGCTGTTTGTCGGCACAGTACGGCAGTCTAGACGGGGATCTGCTGACCCCAGAACCCTTTGTCGTCAGATCCTGTAAACCTCATTTCATGTCGACGGAACCATGTAGTCGAGACACACTCTTACTAATTAACCTTATGAGTAGGAGCTGATGCAGATAATGGCTGGTGGGGGCGAGGGCTGAACCGGAATTGCATAGCATAGAGCCACTCAGTGCGTTCTTGTATATTGACTGGGAGTGTATCCAGACAAGGAGCTATGGTGTAGAGCATTTTTAAAGCTCTTAGAGTTACAGGACAAGAGGTGACACAACCTCTCACTGGTCTGAATTATAGCCCAGAATGTGATAGATGTACTTCTTAGTGAAAGTGAAACCAAGAGCTTTGTTAGTGCAAATAAAACTGCAAGCACTATTTGCCTGACACGAAGTCCATTCAAATACACTGAGAAACTCTCATTAATTTTAATGAGCCTTGGATCAGGCCCTATTTCACAATGAGCTTCAAAACTCAAATTTTTTTGTGGTGACGAAGTGTAACCAGTATGTTGTCATGATATTTATTATAGCTGCCTTGCTGCTTGCTTCACTGTTTCAGCTGAGCTGCAGAATGAGCCTGTTTTACTTTACTGTTCAGGCTTAATTGACTTCAGGGGAAGAGGGCAGACCAACCTACATGGCTATAAAAGCAAATTGACTAACTGTATTTCTTCGTAACAGCTCCATATGTAAAAAGCTTGCTCAAGGACTTGTGTTATAGTTTCGTTCTGCAAAATGGAACTAAAAAAGAAACAGATTGAAGGTGGAGGACAAAGGAAAACTGATTCCAGTGGAACAATCCCAGTCTGATTGGCCTCTACATGTGCTGCGCTCCCTCCCCCCCAGCCTGCCAACTAGTATGTACAATGGCAGAGCTGGGGTAGAGGAAAAAGACAAATATGAAGAAATGAAAAAAAGTAGCATAAGGAGTGAGAATGACACTCTGATGATGGCAGCACACACATATTTTCACATTAGCCTTGTATGAATATACAATTTTCTTTTAAGTCATTTTCTGCTGATGAAGAGCAATCCTACCAAAAAGCTTCACCTGTTGGCACCAGAAGTGAGAATGAACGATTAAAAAGTCAGCTAAACCCTGCATTACGCCAATCTGTACTTGCTCACCACCTCAAGGGTTACCCAATATGATTATATGGAAGGACCTCGCCAAATGTTTAGTGAAAGCCACTTGGAATAAACACATTCTTAATCCTCTCAAAGGATTACATTCACCTTAGGCTTTTTACAAGCTATAAAACATACATTATATTTATCTTGGTAACATGATATAAAAATCAAATAGTGTTTCTTGAAATTAGCATTAAACAAGATTCTTAAAAGAACAAAGTTATTTTAAGAAATGATGGTATTCGTTAAAAAACAATGCTTTTCTTCTGAGTGGTGGCCAGTGGTAGCAAGATGTAAGTATCACTGCTGGAGAGGAGGCAAAGAATTTTATAAAATATCTTCTAAGAAGACCTACATTTCCCCCACCTACATATCCAAAACTGATTTCAGTACTGAAACAGTTTGCTCAAAAGAAATTTACTTGAGCTTTATTTGCTCATATTGGTAACTTTATAAAACAAAGAATTAAGATAACAAATGCACTATAATAGACATTTGTAATTAAGGAGATTTTTAGGTGCTGAAGGCTTCTAACAATCCTGAAGGATTAAGGATTTGTATGCAGAATCTTTCTCCACAATCACAAGGTCATAATTATTATACTTTACTTACCCATCAGAGCCAGGTCTAGAAGGTGTACTGTCCGATGAGACAGAAGATACTGATGCAACAGATAAAGGTCTTGAAGATGAAGGCATTGTGAATGATCTAACCATAGATCTTGGCCGACTGCCTCGTCTATCATCCAAGCTTGAGGGCTAAAACAAAGAAAAATATGATTGTACTCCTTTTAGAACACAACCTGAAATTTGTGATTCATGTTCATATAATGCTGAATGATTAAATGCTTCCTGTCCACCTGGAATTTTATGCTATTTTAGTAACAAATCATCTATAATCACATAGAGATTTTGTTACTAAATTAGGTATATTTAAGAAGAAAATGCAAACAGGTCATGATTCAGGAAAATACTTAAGAATATGCTTAATTTTAAGCATGTGTATGGCTATAATTCCTAATAGCTCTCCCTCTCCTTATTGCACTTCTCTTTCTTTTGGTTACAGAAAAGGGGAAAGTCCCTGAACCAGAGCACTATTATGCCTGAAGAGCCCTGATTCTCAATTGGACTGACCCCTACGGACTGACACATTTACCATTTATTGCACAATTATTATTTGCAGTCATTCCCTTTTCTGCCAGTTCCAATAAAATAACCTTTCCCATAGTACTTACTGGGAATCACAAAGGCCACCAGCCCCTTATAAGGCCTACCTCTTGAAGCACCTACAGTTTCCTCCAAGATGTGGTGAACATGGCTCGCTACTGGTACCCTAGTGTGCTCTACCACTGAGCAACAGGAATTATGAGCCTAAGTTTTTAAAAACCAAGAATACGCTATTGCTGTTAACAGAGCCACTTTCACGGAGTGACATTTAGGTTGAGAAGAAAATATTTAAAAGTTGTTTTTATGCAGATGCTCTTTTATAGTTCTGAATATTTATATAAGCTTTGTTAATCATTAATAACTGATATATGCATAAAATAATTGAACTCTTTCAGACAAAAATAAGACTCTCATGCCATTTAGTCACAGGTAGCTTTTCCACTCTGTCAACTTCTGGCAAGCTGGTACTGTACAAGAAAGACAGAAGTGATAAAATTCCATCAATTCTTAGTAGCGGATCAGAGTGACACGGGCAAGATAACACCAACTAGGTCTGAATTTCCAGTCATCTCTTTGACGATGTAATGAATATGACTGAAGCAAGTGACACATAACTGTAGTCAATGTCAATATCTTGTTTCTCCTTGGGAATAAATTATTATTTAGAAGCACAGTGCATCAAATACATCAAGTAGGGATTTAAGGACTATAAAGCGAACAACATTTACAAGGATTCTATCAACGCTGGTAAGCTTTAGATAGGATTTCTATCTTCTTTAAATATGTCATCATTACCTTAACATCACCACCACTGAAAAAACTGAAAATGAATTTCTGAAGTCTGGGTTATCAAAGTCAAATTCATTGGTTCATTTTGCTCCCATTGTGTATCTGGGGATTCCCTGGTGTACTGGCTCTCATGCCACCCATCCCACAGATTTCCAGAGTGGCTGTTTAATCAGGTGGAGAGGTGGTATAGCTAATGTGTGCTATGTTCTTCCTATTTTCTCTGAGACTTGTTGGCACCTGGCCCAGGATGCTCTAAGCTTCACTGACACTGTAAAGAGAATTAGAGAGCTATAACTAGATCACTGTTGTCCCACTCTGCTGTGTCCAGTGGAAACCTGTCATAGCAAAGATTCTGACTTAGTGTGTTTAAAAATACACATTCTAAACCCTTTGGTCCTATAGCACCTTAAACACTTGTGTGATCCCCAGTAAGGGCATATCTAGACTACGTGGAATGGTCGAAAGAGGATATGCAAATTCTGTGTGAATTTGATATCTTCTTCAGATTGCACTTTCGAAAGTGGAACTTTTGAAAGGGAAAGTAATTAAGATGCGGCTTTTTCCGTGAACTGCTCCCTTCGTTAAAAAGCTGCTTTTCCTCAAAAAAGGAGGTTTATGCGGCTTTTCGACAAAGGGAATTTGCATATCTTCTTTTAACTGTTCCCTATAGTCCAGATGAGCCCTAATAATAAGAGAAATTCAGTTCCAGATCTTGATCCCAGTTACACAAGTTTCAGTTTGGAGTAACACAGTCACTGGACATAGAATGCAATAAATCCATCGTAATTGTGAACACAATTTGGTGCACTGACTTTTGGATATAATGAATTACAGGGTTTTGTCTTTTTCTTACAAGAGATATAATGTCAGGCATAAACAATGAGAAGTCCTGTGGCACCTTATAGACTAACAGATTTATTGGAGCATAAGCTTTTGTGGGCAAAGACCCACTTTGTCTTTGCCCACGAAATGTTATGCTCCAATAAATTTGTTAATCTATAAGGGTATGCCTACACTACAAAGTTAATTCGAACTAACAGACGTTAGTTTGAATTAACTTTAATAGGGGCTACACATACAAACCGCTAGTTCGAATTTAAATTGAACTAGTGGAGCACTTAATTTGAACTAGATAAACCTCATTCTACGAGGACTAACGCCTAGTTCGAATTAAGTAGTTCCAATTAAGGGCTGTGTAGCCACTTAATTTGAACTAGTTGGAGGCTAGCCCTTCCTAGGTTGCCCTGGTGGCCATTCTGGGCCAAACCAGGGAAACTCTTCTGCCCCCCTCCCAGCCCCAGAGCCCTTAAAGGGGCACAGTCTGGCTACAGTGCTTGTGCCAGTTGCAAGCCTGCCAGCACCCAGCCAGCAGACCCTGCACCTGGCACAG